AGTTCCAGTAGCCTATCAGTAGCCCAGTGGGCCAGATACAATGGCACTGTGGGCTGAATCTGACCTGTGGACCATATGTTTGACACTTCTGACCTTACAGCTCTCTCACAGTGGGTAACAATAACAGAGTGGAGTGAGGGAATGGAGGACAAGATAATAGCTGAAAATAATGTATGTTACTCTTAGTTTGCCATCTTCTTAGACTATCTTCACAAATATCATTTGCACACATAATTATTCAAGTTTCATAGATTCATAGATATTAAGGGTCAGAAGGGACCTCAATGGATCATCAAGTCCGACCCCCTGCCCCAGGCAGGAAAAAGTGCTTGTCAGATGACCCCAGGTACTTGTCCAATCTCCTCATAATGACCCTCAAGGTAGGGGAGAGCAACACCTCCCTTGGAAGCCCATTCCAGATTCTGGCAACCCTTACCGTAAAAAAGTCTTCCTGATGTCTAACCTGAATCTGCTCACTGTCAGCTTGGGGCAGTTATTTCTAGTTACTCCAAGGGGTGCCCTGGTAAATAGAGCATCTCCTATCCCTTGCTGTCCCCCCCTGATGAATTGGTAGATGGCCACAAGATCCCCTCTCAGCCTTTGCTTCCGGAGGCTGAAGAGAGTCAGGTCCCTCAATCTTTCCTCATAGGGCCTTACCTGCAGGCCCTGAACCATACAAGTGGCCCTCCTTTGGACCCTCTCAAGGTTATCCACATCCCTCTTGAAATGTGGCACCCAAAACTGGATGCAGTACTCCAGCTGTGGCCTCATCAGTGCCACATAGAGGGGAAGTATCACCTTCCTGGACCTGTTTGTGATGCACCTGCTAATGCATGATAAAGTGCTGTTAGCTTTACTTATCACTTCATCACACTGACGACTCATGTTCATCTTGGAGTCAACTATGACTCCGAGATCCCTGGTTCAGGATGTGAAAATGGACAATACAGAGATAATAGGAATGGTATTGGAGGACATATAGTATTCAGAAAGAAATTAAATTAAGACCACTTGTAGCACCCTACATTTACAATGTGCAGGTATTAAAGAATTAAGAAAGGATAGCATGGATAAAACAGGATATTTTGGAGTAAAAACCATGGTAAAAGAGGTTCTACTGGGGTAGTGCAGGGAATCTGCCTCATACCACCAGGGCCAGATTTGTATCAAGGCACAGCTCTCTCTGATGTTACATAAATACTACTGGAAATTATGTCATTATGAGAAACTTTAGTTTCTCAGATATAGAGTGAAGAATGTGTACTACTAATAGCCTTAGACCCCTGTTATTCCTGGATCTGACAGCAGACAAATTTATGTCTTAACCAAATAAAAAGCAATGTTTATTTGGACTGAGTTTTGATAGGTAACGAGGAAGTTATATAAAAGCTGATTATAACAAAAAGCAATGATTTGCATGAAAAAAGTTGATTCAGTTCAAATTAAATGGAAGAATGAACAGCTGTAGATCTGAAATGAAGACTTTGAACTTCATAAGGCTAAATTTTAATAAACCAAGAAAACTGGTTAGTAAAGTCAGTTAAGTAGAAAAGCTTAGAGATGTTGATGTGTAGGGGTCTAGAATTTCTTTAAGTCAAAATTGCTAAGACTATCAGGAATCTATATATCAAGGAAGGGTAAAATAACTTTAGAAAGTGGCGTTGAAGTCTAAGTGAAAGAACCTCTTTAATGAGGACACTAAGGGAGTTTATACACATAGTCCAGGAGTGGAGGGGGAGGGGCGCTTTACTTAAAGCAGCTCTGAGAGCTTTAGTTAAAGCACCCCTGCCACCATTTTTCAGCATATGGACACTGATACATGTGATGCTGGAGTCTGCTGGAGCATGGGAATTATCAAGCTCCTGCAGACTCAGTTAATTGAGTCTACCTCCATACGCCATAATTACAGTGCATCAGAGCAGCCTTGCTGCACATGTATAGGTGCCCTAAGAATGAGCTGAAAGCTCAGAATGAATGGAAACAAGGACTGAACAACAAAGAAAACTGTCTTCAACCTAAGAAGGATAGAAATAAAATGAGAAATACCAAAACAAAGCTGGAGTTAGACCATACAAATGAAAAGAAAAGATAAAGAAAGGCATGGAGGGAAAGGGAAAATGGGCTAAAATGCAAGATGACAGGTAGTAGCCATGTTAGCCTGAAGTCAGGCAGAAAGCAGGGTAGAAATGCACCTTATGAACTAACTGAATTTGAGGTGCATAAGCTTTCATGAGTAAGAGCTCACTTCATTAGATGCAAGATGGTGATGGTGGTTGGCGGACCGAGAAGTCTAGAGATGGAATGAGATTCAGTCTCCCCTTGTCACTCAGGTTTGCAGCTCTGGGATACTCCTAGATCCTCTAATGCAGCTGAATCTTCAGGTGGCAGTGGTGGCTAGGAGTGCCTTTCACCGACTCCATCTTGTTGCAATCCTTTCTTTCAAATTCATATCTAATAAACATTATCTATTCTTTTGTTACCTTGAGGGCAGACTACTGCAAACTGCTCCACTTAGGGCTACCCTTGACAACCATTTGGAAACTACAGGTAATTCAGAACATGGCAGCCTACCTTTTGACAGGGATGGGTCATCAGCAGGTTTTCTATGATTTAAAAAAAATCCCCAATTTTTGGTTTAAAAAAGAGCCTAATCCATATTCGGCCATGATTAAAATGAAACACCACTATATATAGAGAGAGATATATTAGTGGTGTTTCTTTAATAAGGGAAAAATGTGGATTTGGGGTTACTTTTTTTTAACCGAAAATTGGGGATTTTTTTAAATCAGAGAAAACCAAGATCCCTGGTCATCAGGAGCACATTATTCTAGTGCCTCAGAGTTGGCACTGGCTCCCAATAGCCAGCACAGTTCAGGATGTTGTTTCTGACCCATAAGCAGCCTGGGACTGACATACTTAAAGGACCACTTCCTGCCTTATGTTCTACTGCAGTCCTTATGGACAGCTGGGAAGAACCTCCTGTAAACTTCATTGTGCGCGAAGTTCAGTCAGAAAAACACATGGGAGATTGCAACTCCTCAGCTTTAGAATTCTGTCCCTCCTGAGGCCCAGAAGAGCCTGAGCCTGGTCATCATTTAGAAGTGTTGTAACACCTAATTTAAGTAGGCTTTTAACAGGCAGGAGTAATTCTGAGGTCCTATGTGGGGAACTGTTTTGCTATTTATCAGTTTACTTTACTATTTGATTCTGGTTTTATAATTTATCTTGTTCTTGTTGTAAGCAGGCCTGACCCTTTTTGGGGGAAAGGCAGCATAGAAATCAATCAATCAAACAAACAGACAGACAGACAGACATAGGCTTTTCAAAGGTAAACAATGCTAGACAGACCTGACAGCTGTCACAGATAACATCTACTACATCTCCTATGTTTAATTAAAACATCAATTATTTTATCAATTTGGACCTCACTAAAGCTTTTGATGTGGTACTGAACAGGGTAGTATTACTAAAAAATGGAGAAGATTAGGATTAGTAAAGGAATTGTAAAATGGATAGGGAGCTGACTCGAATGGAGATAGTAGTGGCTACTGTTGAAAGAGGAAGTATCAGGCCAGAGTAAAGTTATTACTTAGGTTCCTCAAGGATCAGTCTCGGAACTTGCTTAAGTTTTTTTCAGAAATGACCTGGTATCATTAATAGGAGCACCTCATATAATCTGCTGGTGATATCAAGTTGGGAGGTATCATCATGCATGTGAAAATCAAGATAATGCACCATGAAGAAAGAATTGGAGGACCTTGAGGACTGGATTAGAAATCAGATGAACAGGCAAATTAAATTAACAGGCTTGTGCATTTGTAGACTAGTAACCAAAAATTCTACCATAACCTGAGAGCTAATCAGTTGGAAATCTAAGATGGGGAAAGAACTTGGTGTACCAGTGAATCACGGATGACTATAAGCTCCCAATGCTGGAAAAAGGCAAATGCAATTCAAAGATGCATTAATGCATTAGGAGAAACATATTTATTCACATACTATACCTACCTTTCCCCAAAAATTAGCCCTCAAAAACTGGGGTGTGTATCTTAGTGATTTCTTATTCTTGTGCTAGAATTGAAGCATAAGGCCACTGTAAAGGCTGTGTAGGAACACTATAATGGCTGCCAGGGCTCTCTTTCTCTCCCTGTCACAGGGGAAGAGGGGTAGAGTGCACTCTTCACTGTCACAGTTAATGTTAACCCTTTCACAGCCGCTTCCAAATTAGTAGTAGCTTCTGGCTGACCAGCCAAAAACTGCTGCCAATTCAGCAGCAGGTATGAGAGGGTTCAAACCAGCTTTTGGCTGAGCAACAACAGTCAGGACCAAACTATGTGGTCAGGATCCACTGTGATCATGATTCAGCTGTGATTCTGGAAAAATCTTTTTGTCCTTCATTCTGCCTTCCCAAAACAACTTGCATGTCATATTTAATAGTGTGTGATATGTGAGAAAATACAGTATTTTTGGTAGAGGCAGACAGATTACTGCCACTGTACAAGGCATCAATGAGCCTTCATATCAGCAGTTGTGTGTACAATTATCGTCATCCACATTAAAGTAAAATTAAGTGAAACTGAAAGTAGGTACAGAGAAGTGTTAGTAGAATGATCAGGGGAAAGGAGCTAATCTTACAAGAGGAAACTAAAAGTGTTAAATTTGTTTAGTCCAGCAAAATGAAGATTGAAAGGAATTATGATTGCTCTTTATAAATAAATCAGAGGCATAAGCCCCAGAGGCAAAACCTATTTAAGCACAAGAAAATATGGGTAAAAAATGGTTATGAATTAATTTAAACTTGAAATTAGATCTGTACCACTAGACTTACTGTAGGTGTGGCAGTTTCCCCCCTAAAAAGCCCCCCACTCAATTAAACTGTGTATGGTCTTGGCCTAAAAGCCTCAGGGCTGAATGAAGTCCACTGAATTTGGCCATATATTTTTGTAACAACAGTTATTATAGCTAGAGTGATGTTATACACCACTAATGTGTGTACTTACCTTATTCTTGCTATAAACACGAGGTGCCACTTTGAGGAAGACATGTGGCATTTCCTCCAGTGTGTCATTATCAACAACATGGAGTATACAGGTAGGGATGGTGGTATATACCTTTGGTACTACAAGCATATCTTCTGTCACATGAAATACTTCCCTACAATAAAAGAAGAATGACACTACTTTTAAAAAGTGTTTCTAGTCTCAAATCTCTTTTCTCTAATAAAGTGAACATTGCATCAATAATTATGGCAGTAGATGGGTTTGTGTCTTCATGCATTCCAATCACTCAGAGTTACAAATTGCTGGAAGTTATTTTGTCCTAACACAAACCAAACCAAGAAACAAATAAACAATGACAAAAATGAGCTGTAGACTTTGGGCACTGACTTAAAAAATGAATGTGTATTAATTTCATAAAGCTACAAACATTAATTTTAATTGAACTTTTTATTTCATTCGTACTTGGGGCAGAGATCTAAAAAAATTTAATAATTTAGCTTTAATTGTAAAAATATATTTCAAGTACCCAATTACAGCAAATGCTTGAGCTCACGCAACTGAAAGTATGTGGCACTCAAGGCACATATGTAACTACTATAAGCGAAACATGTTTGTATATGCAATAGCTTACTTAACATTTAGGCAAAATATGTTTATTACATACTTATTTGTCTCTTTGTTTCTAATTCTAAAAATCCAGCATAAAATTTGATTATTTTTATATTTTATATTGTTAATACTTTCGTAGCAACTTAATAGTAATATTACTTCTAATAATGGAATTTTTTTTTTTAAATCATTGAATACCATAGACAAAATTTTCTAACTAAATAACAAATATTTGATTATGTAATCCTTTGTCATCCAATTTGCAACATTTTGAATGACAAGATTTTCAGGAAGCAGGGAGCACCTGCCATCTGGAAAAAAAAAAAATCAAACCTTGTCCTTCGAGTTGGATGTGTTAACATGGATGCACCAAGTTGAACAACCAAAAATATAGGAATCTACATCAGACCATTTTTTTTCATTACAAGCAGTTCAAAGCCAGCTTGATGAACTGTCTTCACACTTTGCAGAAACAAACATTCTCCTCTGTTTTCAGTTAATAGTGAAAATATTTATAAAAATCCAATTCTGAAGCCAAATTTTAGGATGGTAAAATAAAGCTTTATAATGGAACCTGGCTATGATTTTATGGTGCGGCGGCCCCTGCCACTCCGTAATAAATTATTCCTGTATAAGTATGGTTACCACATTTCTAGTTTCAAAAAAGAGGACACCTGTGAGGGGGAGAGGAGGCAGAGAGTATATGATTATGGGGGCAGAGGGGGGGCAGTGATATGCCCGTACCCTGCCCCTGCCCCTCACTCCCAAGCCACAGCCCCCACCCCCAGCCCTGCTGCTGCCCCTCATTCCTGACTCACAGTACCCTGCCCCTCACTCCCAACCCGCAAGTCCCTCTCACTGCTAATACCCCTCACTCCTAAACTGCAGCCTGTCACTCCCCCCAACCCTGCTGGTGCCCTTCATTCCTGACCTGCAGCCCCTGGCCCCCCAGCCCTGCCGATGCCCCTCATTTCTGACCCACACCCCCCTGCTCTCCTTAGCCCTGCTGCCCATGCAGCTCTTTGCTGTCTGGGAAGACCTCCCCCCTCACCCTCCCCCCCATCCACCACCTCCCCGCCCTGCTGGAGCCCCAGCGGAGGCAGGCGTGTACATGCACACATACTTCCCGGCCTCCAATCACTTCCCCCTGTTGCCCCCAGCCCCAAGCAGATCCTTGTTGGAGCAAGCCGAGAACTGCCAGGAAAGCACAGGCAGAGCAAAATACTGGATACTTGCTCATATTTCTTAAAAACCGCCCAGATGGAGAAGGGAGTTTGGAGGTGCAAAAAGAAGACATGTCCAGGAAAACCCAGATGTATGTTAACCTTAGTACAGGTATATGGGAAACTCACCTAAAAACCACAAACCAGCAATTTGGTGGCTGATCAGAATATGTTACAACATAATCAGCAAAAGATGTCTTAGTCCATTCATCTTCATAACAGGAGAACTTTTCAATTGACTTACAGTTACTTTTAAACATTTCTCTAGAAAAAAACAAAAAATGTGAGATAAATATTTATGCTTAATAAGCAGAGGACATGTATCTTGATGAACTTTTGCATATAAGGAAGAGTACCAGTATATATGTAACTCGCACTTTACCAGTACGTTAAAAGTTCTTCTCTAGAGCTTGGATACCATGAAATGAAAATATTCTACTGCTGCTAGCGACTAATAAAGATGGTCCTTTTGCTCACCCGGTAGAGTTCTGTCCTGTGGAACTGGAAACCTGGTTTCTGTCTTCAGGTGGCTGAATTCACTAATTAGCATTTGACATGAATTGTTTATTCATCTCCCTTGCAGATATGCTCTGAGGCACAGGAATCAAGCCCTTTCAGACAATGATGACTTTACATTGGAAATGAGGGGCTGTAAGAACAATGCCTGGCTATTCAAACTCCTGGGGGAAGGACATTTCTTAGGGTAAGGAAACTAAGTGAAAGATGGTACTGTTAGGATACTGGGTTAGTGTTCTTCATGTCTGAAAGGATGTAAATATTCTCTTGGTTCTGAATAGATGAGGGAAGATTTTTCCTCTGGTTAAACATTCACCTTTCGGAGGAGGGCGGGAAGTAGGCAGTTAAATGCTGGGCAGGTTCGCTGAGAATCCAATGGGGGAGGTACAGAAGCAGATTTAGGATTTTACCAAGGGGCTCCCGCTGGGGCAGGCAGACAACCCCATGGAAACAGCAGTCAGGGCTTTTTTAAGTCCCAAAAGAAAGTAAGAATTCTCCCCCTTTCCCTTCCTGCTCAAAGGCATGCCCTCCCCTTCCCTCCTGCCCACTGCTGCCACAGTCCGCACCATCTCAGATGTGAGAGGAGCTCCAGAGCCACATTAGCTGGGTTGCGTGGGTGCTGGGCACAGACCAGGACAGCAGCAGCAGTCTCCCTGTGCCTGTCCCAGGCTGTAAGGGAACACCCAGGGGTACCAGGCAGGCAGGGCGAACCCACCCACTACCACTGCTGCAGCCAGGCCCAGATAGAGCCCAGCCCCTGTGAAGCACTGGAGTCCTTCGGTCAGCTGACTGAGTAAAGCAGGCTAAAAGAAGAAATAGTAAGAGGTCCTGGCAGACAGGTCAGAGACAGAAACTTTGCTAATCTATTGAGGTGGGTAGGAACTGCATCCTTGGATTTCAGATGCAGGGTAAGAACAAGTTGTTGTTCTGGTATTTTCCTTTGTTTATTCTTATATCTCTTTCTGTATCTCAGCATATGGTTACAGATATCCTATGCCTTGCTCTTGTTTTTTATAATAACCCTTCTTGTTATCTTTTTAACCCACTTATTGTCAGTAATAACCATGATTCTAGAGTAATTGACCATACAGGCAGACCTCTTTTCCAGAAGTGGGAATCTATCTTCTCTGAGCGCATGACCAGACCAGAGTGTGATTCTTCAAGCTGGCAAAGCCTGGGTGACACGCGTATATGTGAGGCATCATAAATCAGGGAGTAGACCTTTGAGCATCTCAGTCTGTTCTCAGTGGTCAAGCAGCATATGGCAGGGAGGGGTTTGGAGCTGAAGGACACCCCTGAAGAGGTGAAAATACCCCAGGAGTGTGTCTGAGGTACACTCAGCTGCACTTGGGACTGAAGAGCATTACAGGCACCTATTTTGGGATTATGCCCTTTATTAGGTATGGAATGAGGTCAAATCCAACTGTTTCTAGAAGATTTTCTAACCATTCATCATCTTTTCTTTTTCTTACATCATTCTGTCATCTTGTACTTTTTGATCTGAGGTTGTATTAGAAGTTTTAAAGTAATTTTATTACTTCTTTGCAGACAGCACAAAACTGGGAAGGACTGTGAACACACTGGAGGATGTGAGGGTAATTCAGAAAGATCTTGACAAATTGAAAAGTTGGGCTAGAGCTAAAAGGATGATGTACAAATGCAAGGTGCTACACCTTGGGAAGAATAATAAAAAACAGAAATATAAAATGGATGTCACCTGGCTGGATGGCAGCACTATGGAAAAGGACTTGGGAGTCTTGGTAGATCACAGACTCAGTATAAGTCTGCAGTGCGATGCAGCTGCACATAAGGTGATTGCGCTTTTGGGATGTGCGAATAAAAGCATTAGGTGCAAGACATGGGAGATGATAGTGCCTCTCTGCTCGGCCCTGGTTAGGCCTCATCCAGAGTACCATGTGCAATTTTGGGCTTCACATTTTAAAAAGGATATGGAGAAGTTAGAGAGGGTCCAGAGGCAGGCAACAAAGATGATCAAGGGCTTAGAAGGCAAGTCATATGAGGAGAGGCTGAAGGAGCTAGACATGTTCAGCTTGCAGAAAAGGCACTTAAGAGGGTACATAATAGCAGTTTTCAAATACTTGAAGGGCTGCCATAAAGAACAGGGAAAGCAGCTTTTCTCTTATTGGAGTCATTGGACAAATATGCCTGAAGTTGCAGCAAAGTACGTTTAGACTGGATATCTGGAAAAAATTCTTCCCTGTTAAAATAGTGAAGCAGTGGAATAAAATGCCTAGGGAAGTTGTGGATTCTCCATCACTGGAGGTGTTCAAAAAGAGGTTGAACAGACTCTGGTTGGGGATGATCTAGGCATAGCTATGCCTATGTTCTCCTATGGGTATTTCCCATGGCACAATGTATTTTACCAATTTCCTCCCATAGTAAACATAATGCCCTTGTAAAATGCCACTTTGGAAGTTGGGACACCGATGTGGGATATATATAGCACTCAATGGGAAAAGCACAATATGGAAAGAGGATTGAACAAAAGGAAAAAAAAACAAAACCAAACAGAAGTCGTAGAGCCAGCAGGGTCAAAGAACAAACCCCTTTTGATAAGTTTGGCTGAATGTTTAATGTAGTGCAGACATATAATCTGTCTTTGGTGACATCATGGCATATGAGTTCTATTTTATTCTATTCATCACTGTAGGCTACCTTCCATGACTATGTTAAGAGAAGTGAATAACAATATGCATTTATTTTATTCTCTCTCCCCCAGGCTTTTCTTTCTCTGAGAGAAATTTTATGAGTATAATGGAGTGTTTTATTTGTGATATGTAGGTAAATGTGTCAGATGTTTATAAAATTGAAGACAAGACCAGTGCAGTACAACTTGTACTTGGAACAAAACACAATGATATTTGAGGTGGTATCTCCTGTAAGAGTTTGTTTCACAGACTGGTCATTGGTCTCAGGAGACCATGAAGACTGTGCTTTTGGTGGGTTACTGCGTGCCACCACAGCTTCTTGAACGGCTGAGGAGTCCAATGTGTGACATGAAGACACTCTGGCAAGTTACACATACAAACTTGGTTGAGCTTGCATTAGCATGCCCAGTACCATCTTGTCTTGCCTGCCTCTGATACCACCATATGGTAGGTGCTCCCTGCTTCCTGCATCATTGACTCTCTCTATCTTGAAGCAACATAGGACCTGCTTCACAGCAGCTTTCCACTTGCAGCAGTCTGAAGTAACTGATTCCCAGTATTGGCCATTTTTGTGCAGCTCACAAAGGTTTTTATTGCAGACATCAATCAAACAGAGTTTGGGCCATCCAAGGTGACATTTGCCAGCGGCCAGCTCACAGTATGGACACCTTTGTCGATAGAGTGAACGCTCTGTTTTTCCAAACTCTCTTTTAAAGTTTAGCCATGGCATTGCTTGACTTTCCAATATGAGCATTGATTTTTGTCTTCCAAGCCAAGATTTTGAGAGACAGCGGAGCCCAAGTAAGCGATTTTTTCAACCATTTCCAGACTTTCATCATTTATTCTAACTTCAGGAGGGTGGTCAACTTGTTGACTTATGACTACTGTTTTCTTTAGGCTAATGGTCAGAACAAAATCATCACAAGCATGAGAAAAGTGATCCATAAGACTTTCAGTTCTGCTTCTGAATGATTAACAACCGCTTCAGTGTCAATGAAGAGTATTTCATGGACAAGAACTTCTTGAGTTTTCATTTTCACTTTGAGATAATTGAAGTTAAAGAATTTCCCATCAGATAAGTTTTGGTCCAAAAGTATATTCCTTCTGAAGAGCCACTGAATATGTATTTGAGTAGGACAGTGAAGAAAATCCCAAAAAGCACTGGAGCTAGGATACAGCCCTGTTTGACACCACTCTTGATTTCAAATTCTTCCGAATGTGACCCATTGAACTGCACCGCTCCATGCATACCGAGGTGGAAGGACTTGATGATACTCAAGAGCTTAGGAGGACATCCAATCTTCAGGATTCAGAACAAACCATTTCTGCTGGCAAGATTAAAAGCTTTGGTGAGATCGAAAAATGGTATGCACAAAGATTTCCTTTATTCATTGCACTTTTCTTGTAACTGTCTAAAGGAGAATAGCATATTTGTCATAGACTGACCAAATTTGAAACCACATTGAGACTCAAGGTAGACTTTGTCTGTAAGGGTCTGCAGTCTTAGCAGGACGACTTTGGCAAACAGCTTTCCAATGATGCAAAGTAAGGATATACGATGATAGTTATTGTAGTTGCTCATATCATTTTTGTTTTTGTACAGAGTGACTATGCTTGCATCCTGCACGTCTTGAGGAACTTCACCTTCTCTTCAACACATATATATTAATGCATGCAGATAGGGGAAGGAGGATGGATTTCCCACACTTTATAATTTCAGCCAGTATGCAGTCTGCACCTGGGGCTTTACCACAAGCAGGCTGATTGATGGCTTTTTCTACTTCATCTACAGTAGATTCATGGTCAACCACTAGCAGGATTGAGAGGTCTTCAAGTGCATTGAGAGCAGAGTCATGGATCACATTTTCATGAGAGTAGAGTTCTAAGTAATGTTCAACCTATCAATCCATCCACTTATTGAGGTCATTGATGACTTCACCTATGGAAGATTTTAAAGGAACGGTCTTCCTCAGAACAGGCTTCAGAGCTTTCCCAATGCCCCTGTATTGCTTGCACATCACATCAGTCAGCAGCTTTTTGGATACTTTCACACAGTTGTAGCCAATCATCGTTTGACCTTTTGCTGGATCTCTTGAAGTGCCTGCAAGTTGGAGTGGCTAGGGTCACATTTACATTTAAGGAGAGCTGACTGTTTATTTTCTATGAGTGGGATCATTTCAGATGAGTTCTCATCAAAACAATCATTTGAGCTGCGATGCAAGGTACCACAAAAGTCCAAGGCAATTTGATAGAGGGTTCCTTTGAGTTGAATCCAGACTGGTACAGGCCCTATAAAGCTGTTTGCCTTCTACACAGACAAAGCTTACCCTGTTGCACACACTTCTATGGTGAATTGAACTGTTTACTAGGGACTTCATTTCTGAGCTTAAAGTGATAATTTGGCTGTCATGAATACAGAGTGCTAGTTGCCTTGAAGATAGGCACTGAAGACCTTTAACTTGATAGCATTCTATGGAAAGCTGGTGTAGAGAGCGGATGATAGGTTTGATGATTTGTTGATGAAAAGAATGCAGCTTCATTCTGTATTCCATATGGCTTTGTGTCCAAGTAAATCATTATTTATGTACTAGCGATTGCCCAGAAAAAATGACAGATGAATGGTGACTTTCTTGATAGTGTTGTGCATCTAATTGTCTTCTCACAGTGGCATTTTCTTGGGACTCATTTGCATGACTTCCTTGATTACGTCGTGTATTTGTCTTTTCAGAGGCCTCCTCTTGTGATTCACTTGCACGGCGTTCTTGATGACATTGTGCATCTAATTCTTTTCTCACAGTAGCCTCTTCTTGGGACTCATTTGCATGGCTCTCTTGATGTCGCCTCGAGTCCAATTGCCTTCTTCGTGTAGCTGGGTCCTCAGGGCTTAGTCCTCCAAGAAATCATCAAACCTGTCATCCACTCTCTACACCAGGTTTCCATAGAATGCTATCAAGTTAAAGGTCTTCGGACTGACTGTGTGTCTGTCTGGCTGTAATGCTCTTTAAGGGTGCCAGGAGTCCGGCACGGCAGGGAGGGCAGAGGGAGGAGCCAGCTGAGGAAAAGCAGGAGCCGGGCTCCTGGATACTGTGAAGCTACTTTCTTGATGGCATTGTGCATCTAATTGTCTCCTCACAGTAGCCAGGAGCCCAGCTTCCACTTTTCCTCAGCTGGCTCCTCCCTCTGTCCTTCCTGCTGTGCCAGGTTCCTGGCACGCTTAAAGAGCATTATGGACAGACAGACACACAGACAGATGGACTAAGCCCTTTATATATAGATAGATTATTACTATGGTCTTTTCATTGCTCTAATTTAATTTATATCATGGAGTTATATAAAGAAGATTTTTAAGTCTACTTAAGTGTTAATCTTACCTGATACCTTTCTCTCTGTTTAAATTACGAAATTGCTCCACATAATAAACCTGGTTTATATACATTTGGTGTTCCCCTCATTCCATAGATAGCAGTGAAGCATTACAAAACAACTATCCTCACAATGATTTTTTAATGAATAATAGAGTATGAATTTCACTTGATTTAGATGTCTGAATTATATCAAAGTTTGTCTCCTGTATGTGATTAATTTCAAGTGAGAGGGTCTGAAACATGTTTTGACAATGCTGTTCCTCAAGGGGTCCTTCTATCAGCGACAAGTTGCATAAAAAAAACCAAAGAAATTATATTGACTTCTGAATACATTTCAAGTGACATTACGTAGTGTCATAATTTAATCAAACTTGGAAATTTTCAGAAACAGTGATCCTGTCCCCTCTCAGACATTGCTTTTAAAGTGTGATTCATGTTTTAACGGAGCAATAAATTTTAATGTCATACATTTAAGACATTTATCACTTGATAATGAGCTTCAAATATGGAAATCCAGCCACAAAAAATGTTACTCTATAAATGTAAGATTTCTTTTGTATCCTACTTGAATTTTAATACGTGGCTTGTTACACTTAAGGGTGATAGTATCATAACATTTGACTGGGTCCTCCAGCCTCCCAGGGTTCTCTCCATAACCCCTTCCTGCAAGAGGACTCTCTTGAGACTTATGCTGAAATCTGCTGCCCCTTTCTTCAACCAGTTTTCAAGGATGCTTCAAGCCTTCAACACTCCTGGAACCCACAAACAGGGGTTTTCCACAGAAATGGGTGGCATATTTTGTAAAGAACATTAGGGGAAAATACTATTTTTAACACTTGTTAAAAAAAGTATTGGCTACAAAAACTATAAGTTGTAGGTTTTGTTAAGAAGGTGTTTGTATTTTTAGTCTAGAAGGCAGGTAGAAATAAATTGAGTTTGTCACAGCTTGAAATGTGATTCTAGTACTTTTCAAAGCCTGAAGCTAGAGGCTGCGGAAAACCTTCATAGCAAACTCTTAGTGATTTTTCAGGTAACTTTATTGGCTAAGACTCCAACCAGCACTAAATAATAATAACTTTTACCTGCTGTTCAAGAGCACATTTAATTTTAAATACAAGTTTCTAAATGTTGAAATATTTTAAATGTTCAAAAGCAGCTGAATTCCTTTAAATGTGACCAGGAGTGGGTCATACTGTTGCAAAGCTACATTAAAGCATACCTTGCTTGCAGGATCCCATCCTCATTCCCAGTTGGTGTGTTTGTCCAAGAGCTTTCAGAAAAAAAACAACTCCAGCCACAAGTGTGAGGCAAGCAAGAAATGTATTGTGAACATCGGGTCAGCTATTCATTAATTGCCACCAGCAGATTCAACAAAAAGTAAGTTCTCATATGCACGTTCAATACATTCACATATCTTACAAAAAGGCCTTTGCTACCTATTATTTCCTACCTATTATCTGTGGAGTATTGTAATATTTCCATCTGGTAGGTCTGACAGACCTAAAAACGTAACTTTAAAAGCATATGGCTGACCATTGTTATTTAGTTGTTGCTATTTTAAAGGTTTGCATTGTTTATCATGCTCCTCAATAAGCAGTAAAAATGATTTTCCCTCATTCCTATGTTCTCACTTTTGTGTTTAAAGTATTAAATGGTTTTCTTCATATGTCTGTTTTTATTTCCTTATTCATAGAAAAAAATTGGTTTTTGGTTTGTTTTGACAATACGGGCTATGGTTGTGGAGCGTAAGAGGGGCTGAAATGGACTACTTTTAAGACACTAGTTAAATGGCTGCTGCCAAATGCAGGGGACTTGACTTGATGGCCAGAGAACCCTCTTCCAGTCCTGTGCTTCTATACGCTCCTAATTAATGACAGCTAGCCAGGATCAGCGAGTTCATAAAAACTTTGACGATTGTCACAAAGGCAGCATCAGAATGGGATACACTTTAACATTTTTCTGGCACGGCTAGAACCCTTATGAGGGTTACAAAAGTTCATAATCTAATTGATAGAGATGTATTAGTTAAAATCTTAGTGTAGGCACAACTAAAATAACCTCTAAATATAAACATGAAGAGTTACTGATAGGATTTGGCAAATATTTCAGGTGTACATGGCAGCAGGCTTAAATCTGCATGTTATACCTTCATTAAGAATCACAAATGCTTTTAAGCATAGTTTTCACTATTTCAAAATTAGTCACTCTCATAACGTATTCTGATGACCAACTGATTTTATGATTGTACAAAAATGATTCTACTGAATAGACCACAATATAAAATGTTCATTTATTACTTATTACCTTAATAGAGTTACAGCACACTGTTCAAAATTTGGATCAATCAGACTCCACAATTTTTGCAGGTTCTCTTTGACATTAGCATTTTCCTTTGTCCCTGAAAATAAAATTTGTTATTAAATTTTGATGTTCAAAAAAATACAAAAAGACTTGTGAAAAAATTACCAAAGTAAAATGTGTTATGTATTTAGTTAGTTTATTTTTAATTTTACAGAATTCTCCCATATGAGGAAACCAGTTTTTCCTCATAGATCACTACAGACCCATTGATATCAGTCTTCCATGTGCACATGAAGATCAGCCCTTCTGCTACAGTAAAGAGAGATGTTTGTACCTTCTACTGAATTACATATTCTCGTACATATTGTATTATGCTATACTAATATACGTGGTATATAAGTATAGCATAATACAATATGTATGACCAATGTAGTATTACCATAATTGAGGTTACCTTATTTCACTGTAGTATTACCATACTACAGTAAAATAAGGTAACCTCAATTATTATGGAAGACAGTGATCAGCACATTGAAACTTCAATTAAATTGCTTTTTTCCCTTGCTGTATGCTGCCACACAGCAAATGAACTGTTAAAAGAAATGGAAAATATTGCATGATAAGATTGGAGGAAAAAAAAGATGCTGTATCAAGAAACAAGAGGAAAAAAGTCATAGGTATATGTGTGAAAGGAGAAAAAAATAATTATGAGAATGACTGGAAAGACATAATAGAAATTAAAAAAAAAACATTTAAGCAAAGACTATGGAATGCATTAGAGAAAAATCTTGGGAAGTAAAAAAGATCCATTGCAGACAAAAGAAAGGAAGAAGTTGGGAAATACCCACCTGGCAACTGACAAATAGAAAACTAAATTTCAAGAAAAGCAGATTCAGGGGGTCAGGAAATTGCAGAAACCAAAAATAAAGTAATATGCACAGCCTAAAGCCCTCTTATTATAGGGCTTACAAAACATACATTGGTAGAAGAAAAGAGCCTATATAAGACAAGACTTGGAACAATAGTTCAAGAAAGGGAAGGTGTTGGGATTACAGATATAGAGAAGAACACAAGATGGCTCATTTGAAGGAGATTTTAAAGGACATATCCGAATGAATGAGAAGAAGCCTGACCTAAAAAGACAGGATTGGTGCCTAGGAGCTTTATGCTTTTTCCAAGCACAAAGCTCAAGCACTCCAGCTCATGACAATCAGCTGCAAAATAAGGGACAGGACTGAGTCCCCTCTGAGGCAGTCAGTGGCAGAGGGTCAGTAGCACAGGCAGCTTCCAGGGGTCGTTGCTCTAAAACCCTGCTCCAGATGACTGGCCAGGCAACCGACATGCCTCGTGGCTCGCCAATCCCACTCTGAGCGCCGGCCTGCACCCCGAGCTCCCAGGGATCCTCATCCTGGTGCTCTGCCGCTCATCAGGATCCTGGTGCCTTGCCTGTTGCTGTCCTGCTTCCCCAGGGAAGGTAAGGGTTTTCCTCAACTCACCGGCCCAGCTCCCTGCTCTGGATAAGGATGCCACCTGCACTCCTGACCTCTGCCTCTTCTCCGCAGTGGAGTGGAGGGTTGACTACCACCCCTAGATCTGGGACACCTGGCACGTCCAGCACACTGCGATGGGGCCTTGGGGCACCAGCTCTCTGTCCCAAGCCTTGATGGCTGCTCCCTCTCTGCTGCAGGGCTGGAGGCACGGCCGAGTGCTGCTGTCTTCTTCTCCCAGGGCATTCCAGAGGAGTCTCTCTGCTCCTTCTGCTGGGTCAGCTCTCCCTAGCTCTTAGGCCTCCTGTGCCATTCCCCAGAGTCACTGTCAGCAGCTCCCACATGCCAATTCAGCTGCTGCTTTTATCCCCTCCAGCAGTTCCTCCCTGGTTTGCAAACCGGCCAACCAGGGCTCAGGGTGCTGGGTCCCCCACTCCGGCCATCCCCCTTCCATGCGAATGAGGGGATTGAAAACCCCTTCTTTCCATTGGCTTCTCCTTTTCCACAGGGCAGGGCTCCCCTGCTCCACCCTTGGGGTTGCTTAGAGTACACCTGCACTGTTTCTAGCCCAGGGTAAGTATCTCAAGCTGATCTGGTGAGCCCACACTGGCAGTCTGTTACACAATGGAAACACTTCTGTCATGAAAACAAACTGCTCAGATGGAAGATGAGACTTGGGCTATTAACCTCTTCTCACCTTGCAGGGATTCAGCCTTTCATCTGCCAGTTCCCAAAAAGAATGCTTTAACCACCAGACTATGCCCTGGGCTGGGTGGAGCATCCTTTCCCTCCTCCCTTCTTTAAAGTGGTCCACTGGACAGCTGGGAGTGCAAGAGTCATGAGGCCAGAGACATTGCATGAAAGGAAGCAGTTTTGGATTCTGGTCCTTACTGCCTGCTGCCATTTGTTTCTTTTCTTTTCAATCAGGATAATGGGAGAGTAGGGCTGGAAGGGACCTCACAAGGTCATCTAGTTCAGACCCTTGCTTAAAGCAAGATCATCCCTCACTAAACCATCCAAGCAAAGCATTGTGGCTGTTTTGTTAAACCCATAGGTATAGGTCCCTGCAGGTTTACTGGCTGAGCCAAAATGCTCTATCCATCTTTTTTTCCTAAACTGAGCTGGGTGGGAAGCCTACAGCACCTACCAGGTCAGCTGAGTCCAATTCTGGTCAGTGGCACCTGTGGAGTCACCTGAGGGCCCACCTAGCTGAACAAGTAGCAGCTTCTGCAGGACAAGCCTCTGCAGCGGGAAATGAGTGTGTGTCCACATGTGACCGCTAAGAAGCTCCTTGTGCTTCCTGTGTAGCACATATGGCGTTATTTTCTCTTTCCCCTGACAGGCTGGAGGTGCAGAAGCTGCTGTTACTGTGATTCCTCACTTAATGTGTGTACCCAACTTCCAGCAGCTGATTTGGGAAAAGGTGTATGTTGTATGCAAGACAGTAAGATGTGTTTTAATGCATCAAAATGTAAAGTAAAACAGTCAGGAACCAAGCATATAGGTTATACCTGTAGGTGGAGACTGTTGCAAAGCAGTGACTTAAAGGCTATAAACAAACATCATCCCAGCACAGCTGATCTGCTTCACTGGCAAAATAGAAATTGCCTGTTATCCTACAGAATTGGGCCCTACCCACTTCCAGGGCTTCAGAGACCCGAAGGATAAACCTCAGGGTGTACCTGCTGCCAAAGGGAAAACCTGGGATTCCCCAGTTTGCAGAGGAATACCCTGTGTCAGAATCATCAGGTGAGTCTTTGCAAGTCTACAAACATGAGTTGTCCCACATTTCCCCACGGGAAATGGGAGCACCTTCCTTGAGTAGCTGCAAAAGCACAAACATTTTTATGGTAGCACAAAGGCAAAGTCTGTTTGCAGTTAAAGAGAGAGAGATGTTGAAGGTAATTGTCTCATAAAGAGCTGGTCATGCAATAGATAAAGTTTGATTTTCTAGGCTAGAATTTCTTAAGTCATTATCTTACAATTTTGTTATATTGGATGATTACATCAACTTTAATATTATAGTTGGTACATACTTGGCACAGGTACAATTATTTACTCAGGACCTCTCTCTGCCTCTCTCATGCACACACATATACAAGCTATTAATACTATTTGTATTAAAGTCTCTTTCTCACTCAGACTGTCTGAACCACAATGCTTTGCCAATGTTGTACACATTTTCCACAGTCTACATTCTTCAATATCTACATGAAAAATGAACATAAAAAATTTAATTGGCAAACCCCAAAATACAACTCTTTCTACTTTTTCAGTGTCTCCATGATTCATCCATGACAGCTGTTCATACATATTCACTCGAACTTGCTACTGCATGTTTCATTACAAATGGGCATCACAATATTCAAATATTTTTAGTAAAATATATATAAACCTTTACATAGAGATGGCAATAAACTGTTTCAATATGCTGAGATCTTTTATTCACAGACATCTCTCTGAATACTTGCAATTACATCTCTTTAAAAAAATAGTAATACTTCAAATGAATAGGGAGGGGTGTTAGTATAATACTCTCCTGGGAAAGCTATATATAATACAGCTGGAATATGATATGGAATTTGATAATATACATGGAATATATAATATCATATATATTTTATTTTCCACAAACGAAACCTTCTACATTATTCTGAGCTAACTGAGGCCATAATTATATAGGCCCTAATTCAGCACCTACTAAAAGCAATTAGAGTTTTTCCAAAGGGCTTCAGGGGGCCAGAGGTCAAAATCCTATTCCATAGTTAATGCCATCAATGAGACTCAGGCCCCTGCCAGATGTTATTTCCATCAATCAACAGTAATGTTGGTCAAAGGAAACTGTTGTGTCATGTGACCTGCTTCATGCTCACAGGGCAAGATACCTTGTGGGGGAAAAGGTGCTCTGGGAACTTGGTCTGCACTTTCTAGCAAGAGTAGCTAAAGAGCTGTTGGAAAGGGCTGTCATCCCCTCACCTTCTGCTGTGCTAATGAGAAGTCAGCTCTAAGCTCAGCAGCTTGTCAGCTGAGCACCTTTTAGTGAAGGAGTTGCTCCCCAGCCCTTGTGCAGGGAACATCCAGGTGAAGGACTCAAGGGGGCAGGATCAGCAAGTTACAAAAGCACCCAGGAGACTTTATGAGGTGTTTTTGCATACGTGCTTTTCCTCTCTCCCCTTTTTTATCATATTCATAGCTTTCTAAACAAATTCCCTCCCATATCTTTCAGGTTGTATCTAAGTAAAGCATGTCATGTTAAGTGTTTACACCCTGGCTCTCACAGGGGAGAAGTCCTAAATAGCTTCTTAAAGAAGCAGCTTTGAAGACTGATTGTGGGAAGAGATGAGGGGCAGTGAGTCATGACATTTCCTGCTACTGCACCAGCAGAGTTCAGAATGAGTCACAGAGAGTATCCTTGCAGGAAGAGGGTGGGAGGAAGGAGTACTTGGAGGACCTGGCCAAGCACTATGACCGTATGTATAACATGCCACACATTCAAATTAAAGCTTGATACAAGCAAGTTACAAAGAAGTACTACATTTAATATGCAACATCTTTTAGGCTGGACTGGCATCTTTATGACTTATCAGGTGATGAAGTGCTACAACATATCGTAAGTTACAATTAACACATTAATTATGCTTTAAATGTAACATCTGCCAGGTGCACCAGTGTCATATTGCATTTGTATCATGCAGTTTATTAAATTTTGGCAGCCATTTGTAACAAGACCTGCCACCAAGGATGGTTGTGGCACCCCATGGCACTAACGCTAATCCTGTCTCTCACTCTGCCCTCCATGGTAGTGCCCTGATCCCACCTGCCATGCTTGTTGCGGGGAATTATCATTGGGAGGAATTATTAGGCCTGTGCGAGTCAGCAGTGATCCGATCCGGCTTTGGATCCAGCTGCTTTGGATGGCCGCGATCCGATCCAGAGCTCCAGACTGGGTTACTGCCTCGATTCGGCCGAAGTGACTCCGAAGCTTCAGAGCCGCCTCAGAGATCTGTCCATAGGGTATAATGGGGAATCAATGAAATATCTATAATTTTATTCTTTCTTGTCCGATTTGGATGAAACTTGCAGGGATGGTAGCCTCTGCTGAGAGCATGAAACCTGACAAGTTTCAAGAATATCAGTGCAGGGGTTTGGGGGGAACTGTACCCCAAATTCTTGAAAGCCAAACATGTCATGGCTGTGTCACACCACAGGGGGGGTGAAAACTGCAGGGTGGTAGCTCTTACTGAGGCCACAGAGCCTGCCAAGTTTCAAGAAGATTGGTGCAGGGGCTTGGGAGGAACTTCTCCTCAAGCTGCGGACAAGCAAAACTCATGCCATGCGTGACACTGCGTGTGTTAAGGTGCAGCGGGGTGACAGCTGCTGTTATGCCTGCCAGCTGTCAAGGAGATTGGTGCAGGGGGGTTCTGGGGCCCTGCACCTCTGGCTGCTAACAGACAAAACTCATGCCAAGACTCTCTGTCTCTGGGCAGTTGATTGTCTGTATTGATTCTTTCCTCTCCTTAGCCTGGTTTTGTAGGTGCTAATTGATGCTTGTTAAGTCGTTATGTAGTAGCTAGGTCCTGTGCATTGAGCTGGTCCCCGAGTCCCTGGTCCCTAAGTGAATCAGGATTGATTGATTGGTAACCAGTAACACAATAGCTTAGCAGCCAGGCCTGCAGTAGTGTCTCCCTCCCCACCCCAAGCTAGACACAGTCAGTCCCACAGCACCCATGGCATGAGTTTTGCGCAAAGAGCTGTGAGAGAATGAGAGGCAGCTTGACAGGCAGGTCCCCCAAACCCCTGCACCGATCTTCTTGAAACTTGGCAGGCTTTGTGGCCTCAGTAAGAGCTAACACCCCTGCAGTTTTCACCCCACTATGTTGTAATGCCTAGATGTGACATGAGTTTTGCTTTCAAGAATTTGGGGTACTGTTCCCCCCAAACTCTTGCACCGATGCACCGATCTTCTTGAAACTTGGCAGACTTCATCCTCTCTGCAGAGTTTACCATCGCTGAAAATTTCATCCAAATAAGACAGAAAACAACAAAGTTATAGATATTTTATTGTTTCCCCATTATACCCTATGGCCGGATCTCCGAGGCAGCTCCGAGGCGGCTCCAAAGCTCTTCAGGAGCTCCGAACCACTTTGGGAAGCCTAACGAGGCCAGCGCTTCAACCCGGATGTGCTGCTTCAGATCCCAAAGCGTCCGACGCTTCTCTGGATCCGAAGTTCTGTCCGAAGCCTCACACAGCCCTAGGAATTATATTTGGGTGGTAGATGGGGCTGGGCAGGGCAGCCATGGGAGCTTCTCCTGCGGCTTCCCGCACCCGGGGGGAGGCTGGCACAGCTGGAGGAGCCACAGGAGAACCTGCAGCTGCCCGGCTGTGTCTGCTCCTCCCCTGCCAATCCAAATCTCCAAATCAGCACCAAATCCCCTATTCTGATTCATCTGAATCTAATGGAGACATTGATTTGAATCACCGAATCGAATCACTGTCCTCTGAATTGGCTAAATCTGAATCGAATACTTCTCTATTCACACAGGCCTAATACACACACACACACACACACACACACCCACAGCATACACACATATATATACACATGCACACATATACACATATATACACACACGCACACACATATATATGTGTGTATATATATACACACACACACACACACACACATGTATAAAGCTGTGCTCAGAATACCAGAGGCATTTCACTGCACCCCCCTCAGCGGACTGTCTTTGTACAGCCTGATTTTTTTTTAAACTTAGTCCTATGAGCAAGGCAACTTCTTTTTATATTTGGTCTCAGCCAACTCAGACTTTTAGCCTTTATCTGGGGTTCACTTTTCCCCTAGCACCTTGCAAAAGGCTGCTCTTGTCCAGGGCCCACAGTCTCCATCCCCTTGATTATCAGTTTCTCCCCCTCGCTCTCCTCCCCTAGCTCTCTGATTGTCAATCTCTCTCCCTGGGCTCTCCAGCCCTAGCTCCTTGACAGTCAGTCTGCTTTTCTCAGGGGGTTCTATACCCACGGATCATATACCTTCCCCTTGTACTCACCATGACCTCCCTACTCTGCTATAGCCAGACCCATGCCTCATGGCTAAAACAGAAACATAAACAACCACAGAACAAAAATTATGCATCTCAAGTCTTCTCTCTGCAAATCTCCTCTTCCCTTCCAAATCAGGGCCATCCTAAATCTCTAGAGCTCTGTGTATAAATCCCTGCCTGGCTCCTCTTCTTCCAGTAACCAGGTTTCTTTTCCCTAATGGGGTACAGGGGTTCCTCTTTTACCAAATAGCAGGCTTATTGTTTTGGCATTTACCTCTCTATGGCTTGCACCAGCAGCCTGCCTATCTGAAAGCAGACTTACAGCTCTGTAACCAGGTTCTCTGTACTGTTTTGAAGCCAGTTATCTTGGCTCCTTGGCTTTACCTTTAGTAACAAGGATTGGGGTCCCCTGTTACACTATCTGCTATTCATCTGTAATATTTCACAGTTTTCCTATATATTTTTAAATGAGCTATTCAGATAATTTATGTATAATGACTCTTGATAATTAATTAAAGGATACACTGTATGTTTTAAAAAATATATATTTTTAAAGGCTTACCTGGTTTTCTACCTTTTAACACTTTTCTAATATAAGTCCCTCGCCAGCTGGCTTGCAGTTTAAGAGCTGCAGCTTCTTCTTCAGAAGTTGCAATTCTGTTCTGCCAAGAAACTGGTATATTAAGCTCTAGCACATCTATAAGAAAAAGAGAACAGTTCTGTCAAAAACATGATGCAAATGCTGCAATCACAGCTGTTTAAAATGAATCTAAAGGACTTTGTTAGCTGTTCTCTAGGAATACATTGGTTGGTTCATAAATCCTCCATTTATGATGTACTATTGTCATACTATGTATGAACCAATATATATTAAATCCCTGTTAGAATGTGGTACCAAATCAGGATGATTATATATCCTGGGCAATTGCCTAATATTGTCATCTAGGTTTTCTTTCTGATGCCAAAAGTTAAATTGATCCAAGTAGCAGGGGCTTACTGAGATTAAACAAGATGGCTGCCATTAAAGACAAACAGCTTTAATTTTTTTCCTAATTAAGCCTTTCATTGTTATTGCAAAAGAACCTTCAAAATGTGCATTGACTATAAATTGCTGGAGTACTGTTAGAGTTTGCAAACAGCCTGAAACTAGGGCTTCAGAGTTTGATGGGTCCAATAATTCTGAAAGATTTTGTTAACTGTAAAACTTTACTACTTGAACACTTTCATTGTGTAAGTGCTAAAAATTTCAACTCAGCTTCTACTAGGAAAACACATAAGAAGATCAAAGAACGTTTACCAAGGACTTGTTACTGACTTGCCAAGAGATATATTTCCTGTGACACACACATGGGTATTAGTAGTTCTGTCATACCTACATGAATGTCACTTAGAATCTCAGATATAACTAGACAGACAGAAAATACTCCTATAAAATGCCATTAAGCCAACAGCACACTGCTTCAGGCTTGGACCCAGAAGACTATAGAGCCTCATCTCATCTCTTCTACTGAACATTTAAAAATGTATCAGGCTTTACAACCCTTATTTCTCACAAGGGCCTCAGGAAGCAGACAAATATTGTATCTTCAGTAATTAATATAGATTAAATTGCAAGGTTGTACAGTTTTATATAGCAAAGAAAGATCAAAAAGGCCAAAAGGCCTACTGCCACTGCTGGCCCACTAAGCAACCCTTGCAAAGCCAGCAGTCCAAGGCATTTAAGGGAGCCTACCACTGCCCCAGCCCTGGTACAATTTGTGGGCGAGGCAAGAGCCCCCAAGGGGACACTTGCCTCCCTGTACACAAATGCCAGGAGCTTGGGGAATAAACAGGAGGAACTCGTCCTCCTGCTTAACACAAATAATTATGATGTCATAAGGATAATGGAGACCTGGTGGGACTCCACCCATGACTGGACCATGGGTATAGATGGCTATACCCTGTACAGGAGAGATTGAGTAGATAAAATGGGTGGGGGTGTAGCTCTTTATGTTAAGGAAAGCTACACGTCCCTGCAAGCTGATCTTGGTGACCAGGGTGGATGACTGGAGACACTCTGGGTTAAAATCCATAGGGAACATGGCACAGGGGACATGGCGGTGCGAGTCTACTACAGACCTCCCACCCAAAGCCAAGAGCTTGACCATGAGTTCGCTCGGGAACTGGCTGAGGCTGCATGCTCCAGGGCTATGGTTGTCATGGGTGACTTCAGCTACCCAGACATCTCATGGGAGGATCACTCAGCAAAATCTGAGTGGTCGCAAAGCTTCCTATCATGCATGGATGACCTCTACCTGACCCAAAAAGTCTACGGGCCAACGAGAGGTAAAGCGTTGTTCGACCTGGTACTGGCAACTGGGGATGACCTAAACAGCGACCTAGTGATTGATGGGAAGCTGGGTGACAGCGACCACGAGCTGATCACCTTCACCATCTGCCGTAAAGCTGGCAAGTCAGTCAGCAAAACCGAAGTCCTTGACTTCAGGAAAGCTGACTTTGACAAGCTCAGGAGGCTTGTTGGTGAGCCCCTAAGGGACCACGACCCCAAGGGGAGGGGAGTTCAGGAAGAGTGGTTGCTCCTCAAAGGAGCGATCCTCAATGCACAAGCTAATTCTATTCCATCTCGAAGGAAAGGCAGCAAGAGGGCACAGAAGACCCCCTGGCTCTCCAGGGATCTAGCAGACATCCTGAGGTTAAAAAGAAAGGCATACAAAGGATGGAGGGCGGCATTCACCTCTAAGAAGGAATATTCTGCACTGGTCCAGTCCTGCAGGGAGCAAACCAGGAAAGCCAAGGCTGCAACTGAACTCCAACTAGCTTCGAGTATCAAGGACAATAAAAAGTCCTTTTTCTGATATGTGGGGAGCCGGAGGAAAAGCAAGGGCAACATTGGACCCCTGCTAAACCAGATGGGACAAGTGACAACCAATGCCCAGGAAAAAGCCAACCTATTAAATGCATACTTTGCGTCGGTCTTTCATCAGTCCCATGGGACGCCCATGCCCGCTACGGGACAGGGAGGTCTGGGTGAGGATGATCCCCTGCCCTCCATCAATGCTGACCTTGTGAAGGAACACCTTGAGAGGCTAGATACCTTCAAGTCAGCTGGCCCTGATAATCTACACCCAAGGGTACTCAAGGAGCTGGCAAGCATCATAGCCCAGGCCCTAGCATGGATCTTTGAAAACTCCTGGTGCTCTGGTGAAGTGCCCAAAGACTGGAAGAAGGCCAATGTGGTGCCTATCTTCGAGAAAGAGAGGAAAGTGGATCCGGCAAACTACAGGCCTATCAGCCTGACTTATATCCTGGGGAAGATCTTAGAAAAATTTATTAAAGAGGCCATCCTTAATGGACTGGCCGACGCCAAAATCCTGAGGGATAGCCAGCACGGGTTTGTTGCAGGTAGGTCTTGCTTGACCAATCTCATTTCCTTTTACAACCAGGTAAATTATCACCTGGACAAGGGAGAAGAGATTGATGTCATATATCTTGACTTCAAAAAAGCCTTTGATCTGCTATCCCATGATCACCTCTTGGTGAAACTGGCCAATTGTGGCCTTGGGTCCACCACGATCCACTGGCTGGGAAATTGGCTCCGTGGTCAGACCCAAAGGGTAGTAATAGATGAAAGTCAATCGTCGTGGTGTCCAGTGACCAGTGGGGTCCCCCAAGGCTCTGTCCTTGGACCCATATTGTTCAACATCTTCATTAATGATGTGAACATTGGAGTCAGAAGTGGACTGGCCAAGTTCACCGATGACACCAAACTCTGGGGCAAAGCATTCACACCCAAAGACAGATCTGATGGTGTTCAACGCCGATAAATGCAAGGTTCTCCACCGTGGGAAGAAAAACCCGCTGCATCCTTATAGGCTCAGCAGTGCTATGTTGGCTAGCACTATGGAAGAAAGAGACTTGGGGGTCATCATTGACCACAAGATGAACCTGAGCCTGCAATGCGATGCTGCAACTAGTAAAGTGACCAAAACACTGGCTTGCATCCATAGATGCTTCTCAAGCAAATCCCAGGACGTTATTCTCCCCTTGTACTCCGTCTTGGTGAGGCCACAGCTGGAGTACTGCGTCCAGTTTTGGGCCCCACAATTCAAAAAGGATGTGGAGAAGCTTGAGAGAGTCCAACGAAGAGCCACGCGCATGATCAAAGGTCAGGGAAGCAGACCTTACGAAGACAGACTGAGAGCTATGGGGCTCTTCAGGCTGGAAAAGCGCAGGCTCAGGGGTGATCTGATGGCCACCTATAAGTTTATCAGGGGTGACCACCAGTATCTGTGGGAACGTTTGTTCACCAGAGCGCCCCAAGGGATGATGAGGTTGAACGGTTATAAACTACTGCAAGACCGTTTCAGGTTGGATATAAGGAAGAATTTCTTTACTGTCCGAGCCCCCAAGGTCTGGAATAGCCTGCCATCGGAGGTGGTTCAAACACCTACATTGGACACCTTCAAGAGAAATTTGGATGTTTATCTTGCTGGGATCCTATGACCCCAGCTGACTTCCTGCCCCTCGGGCAGGGGGCTGGACTCGATGATCTTCCAAAGTCCCTTCCAGCTCTGTTTATGAAATCTATGAAATCTTTGAAAATTTGGTGGTGGCTACAGAGCCAAAGATAATTAATCTGTCTCTTAGTGGCCTCTGTAATATCATCTTGGCCTTGCTCCACTCCATTCCACTATACTTCACTACTGGGAGGAGGAATTGAAGCAGGGTGTGACTGCACCACTGCACCCCTTCATCCATCCCTGTGTGCTTCCTATTGTTCAGTTTCAAATACTGTTATCCGTTCTCAGGGGTTGCATTGAAACAGTAGCTGGTCCCAAGACCAGACCCAACAGTATATGCTTCTACTAAGCAAATTTGTTTTACTAAAGTGATACAGGTCTGTACTGCAGATACAGGAGTCCTATTAAAAAACCTGCTGACTGCCCATATAGGACAAAATTAATATATAATCAAGCAATCAAAAATTGTATCACAATGTGTCTGCTCAGGTCAAAAGGCAACTGAACTAATATTGCAAAACTAATGTTTTCTCCTGGAATTTACCAATGCTGTTACTATATTTCAACCTTTCTTAATAGTGAACATGGCAGAAATGCAGTTCTCACTCACTGGACCTGCAGAAATGTTAGATGACATTGTAAATTTTTTTTTTCTGGGGGTGGGGGGTGGGGAGTGGGGAAGGGAGAAGTAGTGGTAACATGGTATAAACATGTCTTCTTCAGTTTGTTGTTTTATTAGTTTCAAATCAAGAACTGACTTTGTTCGGCTCTGGTTCCTCATACCTCATACAGGACATAGTAGAGATAAAAAAAAATACAGACAAGAGCAATGATGACCAGGAGACACTAAATAAGCTAAGATTTTTCAGTGTAGAGAAAAGACAAGGGGCAGTGAGAATCAGATACAGGTTTATAAAATAATGAATGCAGTGGAGAAAGTGTTATTTTCCATCTTTTTCAATAATATAACTAGGGGACGTACAATAAAATTATTATCCCAAGGGTTTAAAATAAACAAAAGGAGATTTTTTTCATATAGCATGGAATTAACTTGTAGAACTCATTGCTACAAGATGTCGCAGAAGCTGATAATATAAGTAGGTTAAAAAAATGACTAGACAAGTTAATGCAGCAGAATTCCATCAGTAGCTATTTAACAAGGAAGTAGGGTTGCAAC